AGGACTCCAGGCTAAGGTTTCCACACATGGCACATTTGTTAAATTTTTAAAAAACCTTAAGAAAGTATTTCCCAGAAGGAAGGAATGCATCCCTTTATCTAAGACAACATAGGTGCAATCTGAACTGCAGAATACAGAAAATAATATGAAGCAGAAAGAGAAAGAAGCCCTTTAATAAATTGAAAAGCATTTTACAAAACTTTTTTTTCTGTATTATCATATTTAAATTTTTTAATTAGGAAGCCATAAAAATTTTATCAACTATGGAGTAAGAAGGGCAAAGTAAACAGGTTTGCAACCACTGAGCTGTGGGAATTACATGATAAACTGCTATTAAAAATCAGTGGGAAAAGGGGGTTATAGCTTCCACAGATTGCTTTTATCCCCATCAATAATTTAATAGGCTGGGTGTATAGTTTTTTCTTTGAAATCAATTAATGCAGAAATCTCCTTCCCTCTCATTTTAGTTGATGCGATGTACTGCATAAGAGCGGGAGATGAGCTTTCATTTTTCCCAGAGCATGATTCTATTCCCCCCTGGTATGACTATAGCATTTAATTCCCAGTTCCTAAACAGTAAATACTAGTTTGGATTTTTACGAAGGCTAAGTGATTTTAAACAGTCCTACAGTTCCTGACCTTTAACATGTCTGTTGCTGTAAGGTGGGATTTTCCTTTGTGTGGTTTTCCTCAGATTTCAAGTTGAAATACATTTCTCCTGCAAACTGCAGCCTACCCACAATCATAAACAAATTACACCCTTTGTGTCGACATTTGAAACCAAGTCACTAAATCATAGCATGCTGGGATGGAATTGCTGCCCCTATCATCTACCACTTACTGCTATCAAAGCATATAACCGGATTAGTGGGAAAACAGCTGTATTGCTCATACATTTAAGCTCTTTCAAACAGCAGGTTTTCTTTCTGTAACAAAGCACAGCACTTCAGATAAGAAAAATGCAAATCCCAGAGGAAATAATGACATATTAACCCCTGGCAATCTTTACATAACTTAATAGTTCATTCAACATTTTTTCACTGGAAATAAATGCAAGAACTATATTAAATCAGTATAACTAATGCATTTCAACACATCTACTTTTAAGGTTTTTGTTCTCTGAGATTTCTCCATATACCAGGCATGGTTGATTAAATCATCCTGTCACTTTCCAGAAGTGATTGGCATGAGCTTAAATCTGTGTCTCTCAGTTGTGGCCATGAATCATCATACATATGGGGTTTTGGGGGCAACATGTTGGTAGAGGTTAGTGGTAAACCAGCTCTCTAGTTAACTCAAAACCTTGTTACTAAACACTCTATTAGTTATTAAAGCTAATAAGCCATAAAACAACTGTTATTTTCTTGGCCAAAAGATCCAGAAGTGAAGAAAAACTGTAGATAGCTTCCAGTTATTAAAAGTGTTCATGCATCTATCTGCTAATACTGTATTAAGTGAAAATTATCACCTAGCTTTTTGGACTTTTTAATTAGTCAAGGATGTCTAATAGCAGGGTGCTTCAAAAGAAAATGTCTTTAAGCAATAATATGAAACATATCAAATAAATCTACATTTCTTTCACAAAAAAAAAATGTTTAAGTTGATATTTTGGGGTTTGGATTTACAAAGAAAGAACTGGAGTTAGATTTGATTTAGATATGTTGTCTTTGTTATGGAATACTCTGTGAAGAATAATGTATCATCATATCATATAGTTTGGATTGGAAGGGACCTCCGAAGATCATCTAGTCCAATCCCCCTGCAATGAGCAGGGACATCTTCAACTAGATCAGGTTGCTCAGAGCCCCATCCAACCTGACCTTGAATGTTTACAGGGTTGGGGACATCTACACCTCTCTGGGCAACCTGTTCCAGTGTTTCAGCACTCTCACAGTAAAGAATTTCTTACTTATGTACAGTTTGAATCTAGCCCTTTTCTAGTTTAAAGTCATTTCCCCTTGTCCTATTGCAACAGGCCCTACTAAAAATCAATCCTTCTTATAAGCCCCCTTTAAGTATGAAAGGTTGAATAAGGTCTCCTTGGACTCTTCTCGAGGCTGAACAACATGAACTCTCTCAACCTTTCCTCATCAGAAAGGTGTTCCATTCCTCTGATCATTTTTGTGGGCCCCCTCTGGACCTGTTCCAACAGGACCATGTCTTTCCTATGCTTAGGAATCCAGAGCTGGACACAGTACTCCAGGTGAGGTCCCACCAAAGCAGAGTAGAGGGGCAAAATCACCTCCTTTGACCTCCATATGAAGATCTCCATATGATCCTCAGATCATTAAAAAAAATAAATAAATGTGATTATTTAAAATCAGATATGAATTAGTCCATCATCTGCCTTTTTAACACGGTACATAAAACTAATAAATCATCATGATCGGACTTTTCACCAAAGGTATACAAGGAAGAATAAGTCAGAAAAAACTAAGCTGTAAAGTGAAGAATTTAATATTTGAATAAAGATGAGATCTCAAGCCCTCTCAAATCCTCTTAAAAGACAGTAATATGTGGTTCTTAGTGATCTGATTGATCAGAATAACGATTGTTCCAATGTACTGTTTCACTTCAAGTGTCATTATATCTAAATCAAACATAAAAATAAAACAACATACAGGAAAAAAACACAGCAACTAATACCAAATTTACAGTGGATGATGCTTTATAAAAGTTAGGCCTGTATATATGCTTCTGTTAACAATTTTTAGAACAAATAATACTGAGTGTGACATATCACCTTCATAGGTGGTGTCACATCTGGTGCTTAATTTGGTTTGAGGGTTTGGTCAGACTGTGGAAAACCTGAGCAAACTAAAAAAAAGGGAAAAATCCTTAAAAAAAACCCCACTTCATTTAAAGAATGTCTTGTACAACCATTTGTTTCTTATTGATAACATATGATCCCCTTTCAGTTAGAGAAAATGACAGAACACGTCTCCTCCAATTACAATACGTAAGTCCCTTAAACACCAAAAAACCCATAGGTTATACAGAAGTAATTCCAATACTGAAAGGATCTAATATGGAAATCTAAATCAGAAAAGCACAACACCAAACAGCACTTTATAAAAGAGTTAGAGATGTTATGTTGTATTACGTTTACTTCTGTGAGCATTGCCTTCTTCTGAGGATGAATGCAGCATGACTAAATAGTCCTCTTCAGCTCTGCTGTCAAATATCTGATGTGTGCCTCTAAAGTTCATTCAAAGAAGAAAGGTCCTTACATAAAGTTACAAACCACTGGGAAAATGTACTGTATAAAAAATTCAAAGATTTCTAGTCTTTTTTTGACACAAATCCCAAACTTGGGGCCTTGCTAGAATAACACTGAACCTTAGCTAAAAAAAATACTCTGAGCCTAAGGAAGGCTTAGCATCAAGATACACTTTTTCTGGTCAGCTAGGAGTAAATGAAGAAAAGCTGTGTAAATCAGGAGGTAGTGCAGGTCCAGGTCTTCCAATGGTGAAAGCTGGCACAGCTCCACTGAACACAGCAATCAATTTCCAGCAGTTTAAGATTATTTAAAAAAACCCAAACAAACAGTGAACCCAACAACAAGATTTCAGTTCTCTAATGTCATTATACAAAAGCTTATTTCCTTTAACAATAGTACAAAATAATTAGTTTCATTTTTTTCCACTGCAATTTAGATTAAAGAAAACAGTGTAATCCACTATTAAAAACTTTAACAAAGGAAATACCATTGTGAATAAAAGCTTCTCTCTACTACTTGAAGAAAGGTCTAGCTAGATTGACAGCAAACTATGAAGCAATAAATGGGTTCAAAGAGATTTCCAATAGTGATATTTCAGGTCTTTCTCCCTGTAGGCTGGCTACAACACATCTGTAGTTGAAAATTGCATCCAAAATCATTCCAGGGTTACTCACCACACAGGCTGTCTCTTGTCATTAAGAGTATGTCAACGTTCCCATCCTAAATCCTTAGAATCAAAGCTCTACAGTTCAACAGCTTAATAAAAAGCAAAAAAGCCTTGCCCAGAGCTAGAGTATGACAAACAAGGTATCATCCTGAAAACTGAAAGTTGCCCATACTATCTTCCCCCTTCCCAAAGTCTATTTTATTTTGCCTTTCTTCAACTTTCACTTTAAATTCCAGGAAAGTATTAGAAAGACTAAAACGGAATTAAAAACAAACAAACAAAACAAAAAAGCCCCCCAAAAAATCCAAACCACAAAAATATTTTAAAGAACTATTTTAAAACTGTGTTATGCAGAATCCGAAGTTTTATGTCTGGTAGTCAAGTTGAAGTGTAGTAATTACATATAGTACTAAAGTTTCAGACCATGTTCTGAAAGACCTCAGCTGCTGAAAAGCCAGCCCTGCAAAAAACCAGCATCTCCTTCCTTTGGCAGTCCGCACAATCCTACCCTCCTAATAACTCTCTGACCTGCACGTCACATATGCTTTCTCTGTATGCATAAATTATGTGCATTCTTAAGCTCCTTGCTGGATTCTCCCCTCTATTATGTTACTTATTATGGGAAAAATTGCTTTCCTACCCATCAAATTGCCAACTGTAGAACTTCTCAGGAGCACCTTCTTGACAAGTCAGATGTATGGCTGTACATCTCCTGTCATCACACATCAATTAACACAAGCAACCCAAATGTCTGCTGTCTTGAAGAAGCAACTTTCCCCTACCTTCTCTGTATCTTTTTATCTCATACCACAATACAAAACCTTGTTTTGTACAAAACTACTAACTATTTAAAGAGCATTTGCATATACCAAACAAATAGAAGATGTGCTACACAGACAAGTATAATATACTGGAAAGGAGAATTTGGCCACACAGAAGTTTCTTTAAATTTACTTTTGCCCTTCACTCAAATCTATAGATAGCAGCAAGTCTAGGACTTTCATTATACTTTCCAAGAAAACAGTAAGCCAAATGTGGTATTTTGCAGTATGTTTTAAGTTTGCTTATGGCTTTGTTGACAATGCAAATTTTGTGGAAAGAACAGATACTCACTGAAACTACATTCACAAAGTCATCGTCAGACAAGGTCTCTAACATCTCAATGACCGAGGTGCGTATCAGCTTCAATGTCAATCCACTGACACTCCCGCTCCTAACAAAAATCCAAAAGAGAAGAGAAAAGTTGAATTTAACAATTTTTTTAAAAAACATACAAAGAAAGTACAGAGAACCAACCAGCACTCTCACCAATTTTCACACTAAAATTTTCAATTATTTTCCTGAATTCTGCGACTGTGTTATTACATTATTATAATGAAAAATTAAGTCCAAAACTGGCATTCAAAGCCGCAGTCCTGTGGCTCAAATGAAGTAATAATGGCACATCATTTTCTCATCTTCATTTTGAGAAATCTGAGAGACTTTAACACCTTCAACAGTTACATTATCTAAACATTTTATCCTCCTACACACAGATATACAGCTTTAGATTTCCACATACCCAAATGACAGCTTGTTTACTCAAGGCAAAACCTAAGTTGAAGTGAAGAAATAACAAATGGTGATAAAGCTCACCGCTGATATGAAAGCACTTCACCACATTTAAAAGCGTTAAATGCAAATTCTCTTACTGAGAATTTTTTCAGCATAAAGCAATGTTTGACAAATCATGTTCAATGCTTCTCTCAGTACCTCAACATTAGCTAAACAAGATGTCTTTCCAAGGCAAAGAGAGGGATTTTATTAATTTCTTTGCTCACTTTCTATTAATGTTTTACAGTAACCAAACTTGGCCATTTTCAAATATGTAAAGTAAAATATAAAAAGTCTGCATACATTCTTACCTTTCAGGCTCATGAAATAATGATTAAATCTATGGTAATGCTTCTAGTCATTTGTTCTTAGGTTTGTGTTCTACAACAAACCTTGGCAGGCAAATGAGAAATTTTCAATTGATTATTTCAGTAATTAAGAAGCTGAATGGTATTGAAGTGATTAAACACTTCCTTGTTCCCAGTTTAAATAAGTTTTAGGTTTGTTTTGGGCTTTTTGTAACTATTTTTTCCCATGTATTTATTTTGTTCATAACGAGATTTTTGATCTTTGCATATACGGACTTAATGCTCTCTCAATTTTTTGAGCATACAGAGATTTTTCAACATATCTAAGTACTTTTATCCCTTTAATGTCAATATCCAGACATTAAACACTTACGCATCAACTAAAATAAGCATGTCTTTGGGAGAAGCAGCTCCTTGGATATACCTGAAATAAATAAATGATATGAATGACACAAATTTGAAAACACGTTTGTCCTGTGTGATAGAAGACACTCTACGCTATCTAAACTTAAACTAGCTGAACTAACAAAATCCTGCTGTTGTAGCTAGTAGAAAACCATGTGCTATCATTTTCTCTCTTGCTATGTCTTCTAAGTAAATCCAAGTCTAAATCACGTTAGGAAAGCCTGTAAGTAGGTTATATTCATCAAAATTCAGTATTTTCAGATGTTGGTAACTGAAAAACATGAATGCTATTTCAGAGCTAAAAATCTTGATGACAGATGAATTCTTACATCAGCCCATCTTAGGGAAAATACTTTGACCTTTGAAAGAATATATTTGACTAGTATGAATCCAAGTATCAATATGCATTATGCCTTGAGAGGCTTACTGAAAAAAATAATGAGAAACAAACCCACTGTTCTCTTGTCTTTCACTAATCTAGTGATTCTTTTGCTGGTCTAAACCACTGAGATGTATTTATAAATACTTGCAAAAGTCTTGAAGAATGGCTTAGTCTAATAATCTGAATTACATTTGATTTTTGTACAAAATCAAAGTTTTTAATTTCCTTATATGTACTTTATATTTATCCTCCTATGTAAAGGTCCATGTAATGCAAGAGTGCAACAAATTATAGTGGATATTGCATAACAAGTAATTTGGTTTGCAAATTGTTTATTCAGAAGAATTAACCCATTTTTAAAAAGAAAACAGCAACATCTAAAAGTAAGGACTATTAGATATAAATAATCAGAAAAAAATATCTTTACAGTCATATCTGGAAAGTAAGTGACATCTATGCATCAGACCTTTAATGGAAGCTTACCATGGTCTTCTGCGAACATCATACAGATCTATTTTGTTTGGAGTTCGACTTTTATCTACCCATGGGGAAGCTAAAAAGAAAAAAAAATGTATAGAATACATTAAAAATTTTAACTTAAGTATTTTAAACACAAGAGTATAATGAATCAATATCAAAGGCTTTGCACTATAAATATATCAACATCTGGTATGGATAAAATTGTCTGTATTTGTGTAATATGTTTATACACCTATATATAGAGCCTATGATATAATTCAATAAAACTATATATAGATAAAGACCTTGAAGGGCCAAGTTATGTTGAAGAAACGATTACTGACTAAAATTGACCACTGACTGCAATGGAACCAGTATTTCAGTCCAAGTACTTCAGAACATGAAATAACTTTTCTTTTGGACAAGAAAGTACTTCATTTTAAAAACTTATAAATTAATTCATGTTTTATACAATAATACTGTGCTGATCTAAAGCTCAGTTATGCATCTAAAAAATTATACATTGACTAAGAGAGCTTTACCTAAAAATGCAAATTAGAAAAGTAACATGGAAGTGTCATATTTTCTGAAAATAAAATCAGATGGAAATATTCATGTCTCTGTAAATAAAATGCTAAGATTAGTAACCTGCTGTAAGAATTTAAGCTTTACCATATTTTTCAGCAAGGGTAGGCATCTTTTCCTTACTTAAAAACAAAATGAGCCTTTCAAAACCATTTGACAGCTTAAAGAACACAAATAAAAATGTGAAAAGTTACATGAAATGAAATAATGTTCTGCAATTTGCTCTCCCAGTGTATGCCAACAGCAGTGGGGAAGCTATTTCCTGACATTAATCATTTTTCAGTCTAGGAAATAAAGATAGATATAGGCAGCTCCAGGATTCTTCCTGAAAAGGCATTCATCTAAGACAAATGGGAAGAATTATGATATATCTGTCCATGAGTATAAAAGAAGCCATCAGCTAAGAGTAGCTGCTTACTTTTTATTTTACTAAATGAACCCTTTCCTAAGTGACCATAATCTGAGTCGGTATGTCAGTTACCAGAGCATTTAAACTGAGTATAACCCACAGAACACTTATCAGTATACATTTATCAGCCAGAGAAAACACTGTTGCACACCGGAAGAATTTAAAACTCTACACCAGTTTTGTCTATGACCTCAGACTAGACCACCTGACACGTCCTTTTTGATCTGAAGAGATAAGGGTCTTTGAAATTTCCAGAAATGAAAGAACAGAATTTTAAAGACTGTTATATATCAAATTTCTAAGTACTTCAGAATCATTACACAGGCTTGCACAGGAGTATTTTATGAGCCTGAAGCCATGGTTAGCATATGTTTGAATATGGATGTTTTGTGTCCATCCAGACTAACCTGTCCATTGGAATTCCATCTGAAAATTCATCCTTAAAATACCTTCCCTGGGACTTGAAGAATCTGCATCCAATGTAGTCATTTCAGTTTTTATTATGAATGTTTTAGATAAAATAGCTACTATAAACAAAAGCACTGACCTACACTGCTATATCTTTGCCCAAATTTTCAGTCTTTCTAATAGCATCCAATTAAAGACTATGTCCTCAGTTCTCCCATAGTTTTTCAGTAATTTCCTGGATTGCAACAAAGTTGAAACTATCCCTTTCTGGCTACTTCTCTATTAGTAAGTTAAAAAGCAAAACAGAAGGGAAGACCTTCATCAGAACTAGACTATGAACTATTTTACAATGGTCCAGTTACACACAAAAGAAACTGAATAAACCACTCAGCACACTACCTACAGTCTATCTAATCTTTTTGGAGATTACTGTGGATGGTAACACTTACAGTCTTTCATTTTGGGAGACAGACTGAGTGGTGAACACAACAGCTCAATTCTTCTCCTCTTTCACTAGCCTGGCCCTTTCAGTATGTACAATCCTGAAAAGATTGTCAGTGGCTTCAGAGAGATCTGGAGAAAGTATTTAAAAATATTATTTCTCACCATTCTGTTAAACCAGTATTTTCTGTGCCACATGTAAACAAGTTTCTTTTCCCTAATTAATATATTACCTTCTGTTGAGACAAATAAAACAAGAACGTACATGCTTCAGTTTGCTCATGAGGAAATTTTTCTGTATTTATGCTGTGGCTGCAAAATTTTTCATCAGATATTAATGGGCGGTGAATCATACAAACACTAATTAAGTAATACAATGTTTACTGAGAAAACTAGTTCTATTGATGTATCTGTGAGGGTGAAAGCTCCTCTGGCTTCAAGGTGTATCCCCCCAGCCCAGACTGAACCAATTATCATCAGAGAAACGCCTCTGTGAATCCATACTTGTGAGAGGAAGGACTATCTAGAAAAGAAGAAATTGGAGAGAACCTGAAGGAGAGGCCATTGACCTGAACAAAAGACAACCATTGGCCTAAACAAAGAGAGAGCTTCATTGCCAGGAGGAAGGAGGAGGGTGGGGGAAGGACAGAGAACCTCAGACATCCAGTTCAACCACATGGAGTAGGAGAAGGCAAAGGAGGTCCCTGCAGCCCATGGAGTTTCAATGGTGGAGCAGATACCCACATGTAGGCCATGGAGGACTCCACTCTGGAGCAGAGAAGCTGAACCTGAGGACAAGTGTGACTGAATTAAGACCCCAAGAGACATGCAATGCCAGAGCGGGGGTGGACCCTCAAAGCAGGAGTGGTGAGGAGGTGCACTGGCCCATCTGCAGCCCGTGGATGTCTCCATTCCAGAGCCAGGAGCTGAGCCCAAAGAGGCCCAGGACTCCATGGGAAGCTTGTGTTGGAACATTTTGTTCCTGGACTTTCATGCTGGGAAGAGCAGCAGAGGTGAACTGACTGAACACACCTATTCCCTGCCCCCTGTGACACTTTGGGGGAAGGTAGAGAAATCAGGAGCAAAGTGATTTAAGCCCAGGAAGAAGGGAGAGGTGGGGGAAGGTGTCTTAAGATATGGTTGTTATGTCTCACTGCACTACTCAAATGAATGGCAATGAATTAAATTGATTTTTCTTCCCCAAGTTGAGTCCGTTTTGCCTGTGACCATAACCGGTGAGTGAGCCATCCCTGTCCTTTATCCTAATCTATGCCCCTGTGTTGTGATTCCCTTCCCATCTCATCAGGTGGGGGAAGTAAGTGCAGGACCGCATGGTCCTACTGTGGTTAAACCACCACAATTGATCTTTATGATGTTTTCTACAACAGTTTGCATAACCTAGTAGTAAGTCTATGAATGGCTAAATATAAATAAGGACTGAGCCCCTTAGTATCTAAAATTTCATTCACACCAAAGAAGTGCTGAATTCCCTCTTCAACCTCAAGAATTAACGTGATTAAATTACTCATTCACACAAAGCTCTCTCTGGATTAAGAATTTTAATTTTAGATGGCTTTGAATGTTCTCAAATCTATTCACTAGGTTTGGTAACATTCTGAGTATTTAAGGATCTTATTGAAATTGCTATTACTAGGAAACTTAAATTCCCTTAGGACATTTGATCTCCAATGATCTAATTTTAATTTACCTTGATTTCAGCTTTTCGAAAAATCATTTTTTAAAAGATGACAAATGCTTTCTATGCAAACCCAACTAAATACACATTTATAATTATATAAAATATAATTAGAAGGTGATGGAGACCACTGAAAAAGATATGCGTTGCCTTGGTCCATATACAGACCATGCTATCATGCCACTTGGGGAAATGGACTTACATCTTACTAACAAAAGCTATTATATGGTCTAAGATGAAAGCAAAATGATATACACAAAAAGATGACTACACATTTTCCTAAAAAACTGAAATTGAAGATCAAGGATTTTGAGATTTAGAGTTTTATTTATATAACCTATTGTTTAAAACATGCATTTTAATTAGATGTCTTGGAACCTGATTCACTGAATGTCTTGAAGACATCAGCCTCATCATGTTTCGTTGTTGCATACTAATATCTTTGAACTATGTCAACATTACACAGTTCTCTTTTGCATATATTAGGCTTTAGTCATGTTCCCCTTTGATGATTTTCTTGTTTGGTATATGGTTAGATTTGATATTTTATAAATTATTCATTGGATTTTATATCCCTCCCACTTCTGCTGTTTGTATTATAGAGATATAGGCCTGGTTGTATTTCAAGCAATAGTAAGGAATGCTCATCTGTTATTTCTGCACATGCAGGGTGGAAAACCTCAGTTTTGTTGATTACATGCAAAATCAATCCATGCAGTACAGAGGTTGTCATAAGGTGAAGCTTAAATTAAAGTATTCCTCAGGAAACGGAAACCTTGGCTACATCTGCCCATTTTTAATCCACAAGATGACTCCAGAGGCACAGGTGGGTGTCATGGGGGAGGTCTTCCTGAAAGTCTTAATGAGACTTAAGCAGGGCTTAAATCTGCCTTGCTCTACTGGTTAGGTATGCATATACAAGGAACAGAGAGGCACAGATGAATTATTAACAGTTTTACATCCCTGTAACTGTGTTGGGTTTCTGTAAGGTGGGTGGGTTTTTGTCATGGGGGAAAGGGCCATAGTGATGGCCCCTGTGAGAAGCTTCAAGAAGCTCCTTTGGTCCAAGGCAGACGAACCTTGAGCCCAGGCTGAGCCAGTCAGTGGTAGGGAAATGCCTCTTCAAATCCATATTTATGAGGGGAAAAAAAAAAGAGTTTGGCAAGGAAGGAGTGAGTCATCAAGAGACCTCCAACATGAACAAGAGACCATTGATGACATGAGGAGAGAGGAGGGGGGTGAGACAGAGGACTACAGACACCCAGGTCAGCAAGAGTAGGGGGAGGTAAATGGAGTCCCCTGCAGCCCGTGGAGGTTCAACGGCAGAGAAGATACCCATGTGTAGGTCATGGAGGACTCCACGCCAGAGTGGGAGGTTGTGCCCAAGGGCAGCTGTGACTGCGCTGAGAGCTTGTGACAGAGCAAGAAGACCCCAGAGACCCCATACCAGAGCTGGGGGAGGAGGTTTGCCAGATCGGAGACCTGTCTCCAGCCCATGGACGTCCCCATGCTGGAGCCGCGAGCTGTGCCTGAAGAGGTCTGTGACTCTGTGGGA